CATTTGTTACTGAGCAATCTGAGGCCCTTTCACCTTATCCCTGTTGATCACTGCTGGCCTCAAAGCTACAACTCACTGGAGACACATGGGCTTTACCAGTCTTTTAACTTAAAAGACTTACCTATCTGCAGAAAAATGGAAAGCATGTCAGTTCCAGCAGTCAGCAAACAAATACTCCCTGGGTGCTAAGTGCCCAGCCTTAAGGGTTTACAGTGAACATAAAATCAAAGCCCAGTGAAACTGACAGTGTAAAATACTTTCCAAATTACCTCCCTGTCTATCCTCTAAATTGATTCATAAAGCCTAGTTCTATACAAGATATCTATGGAAATAAAATACCTTGTTTTTATTCCTGGTTACAGTTTGTATCAATATTATCACAAGACACTGTAGAAGTGCATGAGGTTTAGAAATGATTTCATGCTGCTGCAAGTAACACACATCTCCCTGCTGCTCTTGCTCCCCTCATGCAGAGATGCTTCTTCCATTGGGATCCTACTCTTCTCCTTGCTATCATTGCCATCATGATGTCCAGGCCCAGAAAGCAGAGGGCCTATGGCATAGACTGATCTGGACTTTCTTGCTTATTCCTCATCAGCTAGAGAGGGAGACCAAGCTGAAAAAAGTTGTGCAGCTCCTCAAACCACATGGGAACGTGAGCTAGATGAACCCAGGTGACACATGCCCTGTGGCAGGCTGGGGAAGAATGACACCATGGGGTCCTGTTTGAGTTTGGGGTTTGCAAATAAAACAAGACAATACAAGACATGTAGTTTATATTATTTATTTTATGATCATCACCCAAAGAGTCAAATACAAAAGAAAGAGTGCAGGCCTTCTGACCATACACTAAGACCCAAAGAATCCAGCTGAGGCCAGGCATGGTGGCACACTCCTGTAAGACCAGCAGTTGGGAGACTGAGGCAGGCAGATTGTGGCAAGTTCAAGACCTGCCTGGGCTAGAAAGTGAGCCCAAGGCCAGCCTGAACTGCATAGCGAGACCCTGTCTCAAAAAGACAAAAAAAAAAAAAAAAAAAAAAAAAGAATCCAGCTGAGAATCTGGATCCCATGCGAATGTTCTACACCAGTCCAGCCAAACACCTAGAGACCATGACAATACCTCCATGAGTCCAACTGGAAGCCTAGAGTCCACAATGACTCATGCAAGTCTGTTTCATGGATCTGCACTGGGAAGGCCCAAAGTTCAGTGGTGGAAGCTGGAAAGTCTATGCCAAATCAGTAACCTTCCAGGCTGGGAGAAGCAGCAGCCAGCCCCACCCTGACACACAAATTGGGACACTGCCATAAGGGACACTTTCGGCTGGTGGTCAGCATGGGCTCGAGGAAGCAACAGGCAGCCCTAGGAGCAGCAGTAGCAGCCAGCCCTATCCCCACTTACAATAGCCACCACTGGGGGTGCTTCCTGCTGGTAGGCAGCCCAGGCTGGGAGAAACAGAAGCAAGTCCCACACCCACACACCTGCCGGCCACCTTCAGATACCTTTAGCCAGCGCAGGCCAGGAGAACCAGTCAGCCATGATTTGAAGAAAGCATAACCAATACAAGAAGTGTCTGGGACCCCTCAACCCACTTGTCCAGAAGAACCAAGAAAAATGCTGACTAACAAGCAAAAGGCAATCTCTGGCCTCCAAACAACACAGAGCAAGACCAGGAGATATAAACATGGAAGATATTGAAAGTCACACACCTGAAGTTTTTGAAGTGATGGCAACTGAAATAAAGAAACAACTTTGTGAGGCCATGAAAGAAATAAGATCAGAAATACTATCTCAGGTAAAAAAAAGAAATAAAAAACATAATAAAAGAATTGCTGAGCTATCTAAAGAAGACATAGAATAAAAAAATAGAGGAGCATAGGAAAATGAGAGAAACCTTGAATGAACAATATAAGAAAGATTTAGAATGCATGAAACAGATTCAAAGAGATAGCCAAGAAATTAAAACTCCATTGAAAGCTGGCAAAACCACTTAAAAGAAACTGAAGATAGATTTTCAGACTTTGAAGACAGGTCTTAACAAGGAACCAGGAAATAACAATTCAATGGCTACCAGACAACACAAAGAAAAATAATTTCAGACTGATAAGCATCAATGAAAAAGCAAAGGCCCACATAAACACATAAAAGGATTATTTACAGACATAATAGCAGTAAACTTTGCAAGCATGGGAAAAGGATGTACAGATAAGTGAGGCATAAAGGACTCTAACTAGCCATAAGCAAAATAAATCAACACCCAGACATAACAATCAAGATTCCAGAAATTCAGTACAAGAACAGAACATTAGAAGCTGTTAGAGAAAAGAAACAGATCACCTATAAAGGAAAACCCATCATCATAACAGACTCCTCAACACAAATCAAGCCAAGAAGAGCTTGGAGTGAAGTATTTCAAGTTTTGAAAGAGACCAACTTCTAACTCAGATTCATGTGCCCTGCAAAACTACCCTTCAAAATTAAAGAGAAACAAGTGTTACAGGCAACTGAGTTAGTTAGAAATATTATAGGCAGTCAGACAGGTCTAGTCCCTCAAAGGAGCCAGTACAGAAGACCAGATACCTTGCAGCCTTGGAGACAGATATGTCCTGCTGTGGGCCAGATCTCAAGACAAAGACAAAATGAATGCAACCACACCCCAAGGATTGATATTCTAAATAAGTTTGCATCCCATGAAGGAAGCCAGGAGTCACCATTGCAACACCCTACAGAAAGAGGCACTGCTCTTAAGCATGCCCTAAGTGACTGGCTTCCCCATTTGTCCCTGATTTAATCAAATTTACTTGAATAACTAATCTTATTGATTGACCATAGTTCTGTCCCACCTTATGCCCACCTTGTGAGTTTCCCTTCAGCCCCCCTACCTTAGACCCACCTCACCTCGTGGTTTTGTTCTATAAAATGGTTTTGTTCTAGAAAAGACAGGGTCCTTGGAAATTCACTTGGGACCTCTTCGGTCTCTCAGACAGAAGCTTTCTTTCTCTCAATAAATCTATTCTGTTCTTAACCCCATTGTTCCTAAAATTCATTTAGATGAGAACATGAACTCATACCAGACATACAGTAGGTTGGGAATTCTGTTCCCCTATATCACAAGATATTTCCATGACAAATCACACTGAAGGAATTCATCACCACCAAACCAACCCTACAAAGAATGCTGAGGGACATTCTAGAAAGAGCTAAGAATGATCACAGTTCCAGGAACAGCGGCAGAAGAGGATAACCACGCAAGGAAAGCAACTGAACAGAAGGAAAAATTAGGGAGCCAATGGCGAGAAAATAGCAAGACATAGATGAGACAGTGCATGTTGGCCAAAATCATTAAATGTAGGCCTCAATTCACTAATAAAAAGAAACATAAGCAGAGTAGAACAAGAAACAAGATCCATCAATATGTTGTATACAAGAAACATAACTCAAAAAGAAATTGATAGACTGGAATTCAAAAGAGATAAAACAATGCTCCATGTGACAGGGAACCAGAAAAAAAACAAGGGTAGCTTGCCCATCAGCTGCAAAACAGATAATAAAGACATTGCATTTTTAAACAATGAAAAGCTACCCAGCTATAAAAAAGAATAATCTCAAGGCTCTTGTAAGTAAATGGATGCAAATCGAGATCAACTCATGGGTGAAATGGTTCAGAGTCACATGGATAAACACTGTGTTGTCTCCCTAGCATAAAAGCTGAAGGAGTTAGTGGGATCCAAAATGTGCAATACACATTGTAAAAGTGAAAGGGAAGGAAACATCTAAAAAGAGAAAATGGTAGCCATTGTTAGTTTCCTATTATCTTGTTTTGAAGCCCTGTATTGCTTTCATTGTTCTATTTTGTTTGGTTTTATTAGGTTTGTTTGATTTTATTATATGTGATGGTATGGGCAGCTATTTCAGAGATAACAAGATATATTATGGTAGCCATTGTTGATTTCCTGTTATCTTATTTTGAAGTCCTGTATCACATTCACTGTTTTGATTGGCTCTATTCTGTTTTATTTTGTTTGGTTTGTTTGGTTTTATTCTCTTCAAAATTAAAAAAAAAAAAAAAGCTATTCCAGTGAGATGAAGGATCTGTGTAGGCTGAGGGTTCTGCACTGGAGCCAGGAAGCAACACTCAAAGGAAGGACCAGAGCTCCTCCAAAAAGTACTGCAGCCATTTTCAGTAAGAATGAGGTCCCCAAAGTCCTCCAACAATGAGAACAACTGAGTTTATATCAGGAAGCCAGAGCAACAAGCTTCTCCTGGGTATTGAACAGTATACCATCTTCCCCTCTGGAACCAGGAAGTGGTAAAGACCAGAGCTCCCCCAAAGTGAACCACAACCATTCTCAACAATGACAAGGTCCTGAGCTCCTGAGCTGTCACTGAGAACAGCCAAGTTCGTATAAGAAAAAGCCCAATGAGCTCCTCCAGGAGAACCATAGCAACAGGAGAACCAACAGCACCAGGATAACCAACAATATACTTCTTCCTCTCCACTTATCCCTTTTACTGTGGCAACAATCCTCAAGTGAACTATTCATACTCAGCACCATGCTAATTCACATCAGCTGGTTGTTACAAGTTGACCACCAGTTATCAAACTACCACAGTTCCCTTTGAAAGTACACTGCAGGAGGTGGAGCTGACTGACAGAACAAGATGAACTAAAATGTAAATCTGCCATCCCCATCTACTCCACTCTCATTGAGATTTGTATGGGAGACCCAAGGAAAACAAAGACTGGTTTCAAGGTGAAGTTTCCACTGCCTATAGAGACAGAACTCAGGGAAAGAGGAGTTTGGTGGGGAGACAATAGTGGCCATATTCCATGCTCTGAGTCCAGAGTTTGACAGCCTGGGTTCCTCAGCAATGCAGTGTTTAATCCATTCTCTGGGTGGATCATAATCGAAGGTGGGGAATCACCAGAGTATGTCTAGGATTGCACAGAAAGTTTCAGGTAATAAAGTCAGGGTCAGGATAGAGCCCCTGGTCTGAAGGAGGCAGCTCAGCTCCCCAGTGTGGACTTACTGCATAGTAGAGAGTCTTCAGCATTAGGAGGTGTCATCATACGCACAGTCCCACATCCTTATACTTCACCTTCCAAATATAAATCTCTGTGCTTTAGAAATGTCTTACCATCTCTAAGCCAGCAACCTTCATGAGGTCCCAAAAATTTGGCAGAGAATAGAGCAGGGCAGTGGAGAAGGGTAACTCTTGAGACCCAGGAGGCCCAGAGCACTCACTTTCCTATTTCCAGTGCTTCTCTCCCCAGTGGGGCAGGTTTCTCCCCATTTCAGTGCTGTCTGTTGCATAGGAGGCTGAGATGACCCTAAGGACGACCAGGTCCCATTTCCTGCCCTGACCTGGACCAGCACAACTTTCAGTCCACCTCCTCCTTCACTACCTGGCTTTTCCACACCAGCCCCTGTCTCCACCTGAGTGCCTCTGGTCACCAGTTCCTTTCCTTTCCAGCTCCCTGCAGAATTCCCAACTCTGTGTGGATTCACCGCTATCAGCCAGTTCTAAAAAACTTGGAACTCTCCACTTCGATCTAGGTAGGGCTGGCTGCACCCTGTTCCAATCCAGCATTCTCCAAAGGCTCAGCCCTTTCAGCCTGGCCTAGCCGTGGAGTCCAGTCTTCCCCTGCTGGCAGGATGAGGTTCTAGCACCCTGTGAGCCAAACAGCCCAGGGAAGCTGGCAGGCAGGATCACTTAGCCATCAGCAAATACCCTTTTGGTCTATTTCTTTGTAGCAGATACATAATAGGCTCTGGTCTCACCTTTGAAAAACTCTTAGTAATGAGAAATTTCCTCCAAATATCCTTTTCTCCTTCTACCACAGCAGGTTGGTTCAATTCAGATAGATTTATATTAGGAATCCACTAGAAATCTTATTTTGAAAAATATTAAATTCTTTGTATTTTGTCTTGGTTGAGGATAACAGTGTCTCATGCATGCTATTTTTGGCTCCAGAAGAACAGTGTTTGATACTGAGAGAGATATGGAAATGTTTATGTCCAGACACGTCCTGTGTATGGCCACTGGAGTCTGGGTTCAGAGGTGTGAGAGGGGACAGGAGGCAACCCAGCTAGGCTGAATTTCAACCCACAAACCTCTAAACTGCTACAGTTCAGATGTGAGGCAGTTGTGACTTAAATGACCTTATTTAGGATCCCACACCTCTCAAACAGTGCTACTGGCGAGTTGTAGGTGACAGAACATGATAAACTGACGAGTGATTCTAATATCACAAAGACTTCCTGAATAGAATTCTAATATCTCAGAGAATAATAGCAAGAATTGACACAGAGATTGCATTCATTTAAAAGGTTTCTGCACAACACAGGAAACAGCAGAGTAAAGAGTAACAGCCCATGGGATCTTGGGAGAAAATCCTAACCAGCTACTCCTCTGACAAAGGGTTAATATTCAAATATATAAAGACTCAAAAAACTTAGTACTAAAAAAGGAAACAGGCCAGGTGTGATTACAAGTGTGCCTGTACTAAAAAAGGAAACAGGCCAGGTGTGATTACAAGCATGCTTGTAATCCTAGCACTGCAGAGGCTTGGCAGGAGGATCACTCTGAGTGCAAAGCTAGTCTGGACTACACAAAAAGACCCCATCTCAAAAAAATGGTAAGAGGGTAAGTAAATGGGACAGATATTTCTCCAAAAGTACAAATTATCAATAAGTACATTAAAAAATGTTCAATGTCTTTACCCGCCAGAGAAATAAAACTCAAAATTACATTAAGATTCCATCTGGCTCCAGTCATAATGGTTAGCAGTAAGAATAACAAAGCAATAAATGCTTGTAAGGACTTGGTAAAGATGAAAATTAGTACTGCCACTATGGAAATATGTATATATCTTAGTTCCTCAAAAACCTAAAAACCTTACCATAATATAGAGACACTATAAATCGAGCATTCTCTAAAGATATTTGCATACCTATTTTTATTGCAGTGCAATTCACATTAGCTAAGCCACAAAAACATGTTGGTACTAATCAACTGATTAATGGATAAATAAAATGTGATATATATATATATGTGGTAGAATATTAGGCATAATACAAGAAGAAGTCATTTCTTGGACTCCCAAGATCTGGCCATGGTGGGGTTCAGGGAGCTTATTCACTCTCTCTCTCTCTTGGTAAGCACCTGTGGTGAGGGCCAGGAGAAGAACCAGCACTCCCAAGATTCAGCCATGGTAGGACTCAGGCAGCTTATTCACCCGCCCTCCTGGTAAGCAGCGTGGTGAGGGCCAGGAAGAGAAACAGAACTCCCAAGATCCTGCCATGGTGGGACTCAGGCAGCTTATTCACTTGCCCTCTTGGTAAGCACGGTGGCAAAGGCCAGGAGGAGACCCAGAACTCTGCAGATCCAACCATGGTGGGACTCTGGCAGCTTATTTACTTGCCCTCTTGGTAAGTGCCTATGGCAAGGGCCAGGAGGAGACCCAGAACTCCCAAGATCTGGTCATGGTGGGACTCAGGCAGCTTATTCACCCATCCTCCTGGTAAGCGCCGTGGTGAGAGCCAGGAGGAGACCCAGAACCCCGGAGATCCGACCATGGTGGGATTCGGGCAGCTTATCCACCTGCCTTTTTGATAAGTGGCTGCAGTGTGGACCTGGAGGAAAACCATTACCTGTGAGCCTACTGCCATGCGGGCTGAAAATCAAGCACCCTTCCCCTGCCCGCCCTCTCCTCCTATAAATACTGGGCATAGATGTCTCAGCATCTCTTGGGAGGATGAGCATATACAGTATAGCAATTATGGGAGATTTCCTTATATCTTCTGTTTGAAGGCATAGGTTGTTTTCACTGTTTTGTAATTTTTCTTTTGCTTTAATCAATATTCTCAATTGGTTTTATAATGTTCTATTTTTGGTTTGATTTTGCTATACTTAATTGACTGGACAATTATTGCGAAGTTAAAGAGATATACCATAGTACTTATTACTATCCCAATATCCTACTGTGAAATTCTGTACCAATTTCACTGCATTGTCTCAATTGGTTTTGGTTTGTCTTGTGCTGTTGCATTTTTACTACTTTCAAAACAAAATTTTAAAAAAGAAATCATTTCTTGGAAGTGGAAATCATTGTGTTAAGCAAAATAAGTCAGAATCAAAGGACGAATATAACATGTCTTCTCTCAAATGTGAAATCTAAATAAACCCTAAATAACCCCTGGAAGTCTGCTACTGAAATCATATACTTCTTGACTGCTCAAGGACAAGGTATTTCCTTCTTCAACTGTTCTTTTCTACAAGTGTGACAACACAAGCCAGTTCTTGGTTAGAAAGTATCTGGCTCCCTACAGACTGGGATGGGGAGAGATAATGGCTCTGATGCAGCCTCCTCACAGCACTGACACTAAATCATACAACCACAAATGTAACCACAGAGACTTCCCCAAGGGCTTCCCAAATGTCCAAATATCCTTCAAAGAGTCACACTAAGGATCCATGAGGATCTGGAGTGCCTCTGCAGGACTCTTCTCTCTACAAACCAGAAGAAGTAACTGAGAACTGATGTGGGGGACCCAGCAAGAGCTGGCACTACCTACCCAGAGGATTCATATTGTTGGTAGCTTCTGTTGCTCAGTGAGGAGATGGGAAACACCCCACACTAATGTCCTAACATCCCAGAGGAGAAAACATTTGTCACTGATAGAAATGTAATAAAAAGTTCAAAGCAGAGCTGTAACCAGCTATGGATACTATGAAACATGTGTCTTACTTGTTCAGATATCACAAGTTTTTATTAAAATAGAAAATGAAAACATTTAATAAGTGCTCTCCCTTGGTGTGGTAGTTCACACCTGTAAACTCAAAACTTGGGAGGCTGAGGCAGAAGGATTGCTATGAATTCAAAGCCAACCTGGGCTACATAGTTAGACTCTGTCTCAAAAAAAAAAAAGTCTCTCATACATTCCCTTCTCTACCAAAATTATTTTCTGACCCTTATCCTCTGACAAACAGACTTGTTAAAAAATGTATTACAAGTGAGTGAGACCAAGGCACAGAATCCCATCCCAATCTGGGGGAACTCTCTTCCTCACCTAGAGGCCAGGCCATGCATCCCTGCTGGGAACAGTGAGTGGGGCCAAGACACGGAATCCCATCCCAGGCTGGCGGAACTCTCTTCATCGCCTGGGGGCCAGACCACAGTTTCCTGCTTGGACTAATGAGTGGGGCCGAGGTTCAGAACCCTGTCCCAGCCTAGTGGACCTCTCTCCCTCACTTGAAACAACACTTAAAGCTCAAAAATATAGGAAAATGACAAAACAAAAGACCAAAATGCAATCTCAAACATCCAGCCCATCCCAAGAAAGCCTAGGAGCCATGTGCATAGAAGAAAACACATGCCACATACCTGAAATAATAGTAACTGAAATAAAGAAGCAACTCTGTGAAGCCTTAAAGGAATTCAAGCTAGAAATAATCCCTCAGGTAATGATAACAGAAATGAAGGAGATGCTGAACATATCTAAAGAAGACACAGTTTAAAAATTGGAGGAACTAAACAAAAAGATAGAATCCCTGGATGAACAATTTAAAAAACAAACAGAATACATAAAGCAGATGCAAAGAGATATACAGGAAATCAAAAACTCCATTGAAAGTTTTGAAACTACTTCAATGAATGTGAAGATAGAATCTCAGACCTCAAAGACAAGATTGCAGCCAGTGAACAGGAAAGGAAAGATCTTTTAAAAATAACAAGAAATCAGGAAATAACAGTTCAACACTTGCAAGATGATGCAAAGAGGAACAACATAAGGTTGATAGGGATAAACGAAAAAGAAGGGGACAGCATAAAGGATGTCAAGAGGATATTTAGAGAATAGCTAAAAATTTCCCAAACATGAGATTGGAAACTTATATCAGGATCAATGAAGCATATAAAACTCCAAATAGCCATAAACAAAATAAAAGTATACTCAGGCATATAATAATGACCATCCCAGAAATCAAACAAAATAATAGAATATTAAAAGCTGTCAGAGAGAAAAGACAGATCACCTATAAAGGACAACCTATCAAAATCACAGCAGACTTCT